TGATTCACGGGGTTAGGGGAGGGCGGCATATCTTGGCTGATTTCAATTAAAAACGGCTAAAATAAATCATCGTTTTATTCACACGTGAATCAAGTACAGCTCCGCCACTTTTAGAACATATGTAACTGCTACTATATATAATATATATAAATGGTTTTCTTCGAAAAAATGCAGAAACTTCTTCGTCGCCCTAAAGATATACAAAATTATCTCAATATAATTTCTTAATAAAATAATAAGCTAAATATTTCAGTATTATTGACGTAGCATCTCTTTTTATCTCTTTAATTAATTAATGTTATACAAAATAAAAAGAATACCTTCTGTATCTTGGCTGCTCATTTCTAAAAAATAATCTTAATGTTGATTCTTGGGTCAAAAACATATTAACTTCAAACATATTAACATGGTAATTATAAAATAAGTTTAATTTTTTAAATGAAGATTACAATAGTTAAACTTGTAGATACAACTTACTTGTCGTCCCTCGCTTTGCAATTGTTATAATCGATATGAAGACCACATGGCCGAGTTTTATTGGTTTTAGAGTACAGTTGGCGCACAAATCATAATACAAAAATCAGATGGTTTTGAATCTATTAATTAAGCTGTTTTTATTAACGGATTTGGTGGATTTAATTAGATAACCGCAAGGTAGTTTTACAGTGGTTTAAGAGTTGGCGTACGTTTCGTAATACAAAAATCATTTAATATTTGTTTATATCTTAATATTCGAGCATTTCTATTAGCGGATTAGGCGAAATTTTGTAGGTTTTCTGTTTGTCACCTTCTGGAGTAACTAAATTTTTTTTTTTAGGTTTCAGATTACAATTTTTTTTTCATACCTTTCCGTACTTTTTAGGACTCTTGACCAGTTAGTTTTAATAAAAATTTCAGATTGCATGTAAAACCTTTTTTTTATATATATAAGAAAGAAATTTATCTCTTTAATGTGTGTTGAACTCGCAGTTTTAACTAATTACCTAAAACATAAGTATCTCTATCATGATATATGCGCAACAAATTTCCAACAGCGTTTTTATGTTTTTAAAAATTTTAAAAAACGTTTTAAAAAATTCTCTCCGTTTGGTTTCTTATAGTATATTATATCTTTATTTTTATGTAATGCGTATAACATCTATATGCATTTAAACTTGTTTTTAAATACAAATACAAATACAAAATACAAATCATAACGGATTGTGGTTCCGAAAAAAAAGGTTAATACACTACCATCTATAATTATTGGAAAGGTCATATTTTTTAATATCAAAGATATCAAAGTTTGGCGAAAAAGTGAAAACAATGTCTACCTGAATTATATGTTATCTTCCTATTTATTAGGTTTACCTATAAAACTTCCCTGATTAGTTTATAATTTATTCAAAGCCCTGATTAGCTTTTAATTTATTTGCCTATTAATCACCCTTAACAACAATAACCGCCATAAATATATTCTTAGCATTCTACTTAACGACTTATCTAATTAGCCTATTTTGTCACTAAGTATAAAAAAAAAAAAAATACCCATGTATTAACTGAATATCAATTTCTTTATCCATTTAATTTAATATATATAATATATAATTTAATATATATAATTTAATCTAATTAATATAATTGAAATACTACTAATCAATTTACTGATATTTTTTCTATAGCATTGTTAAAAATGGTCATATTCTGAAAGGTAAAGAAATTTATTGAAAAGAAAGTTGCACAAAAGAAAAAAAAACTAAATAAAAATTATTCGTTTCAAAAAACGTTTTACGAAGAGTTTTTCCAAACAATTTTATTTTTAATTGGGTTTTTTTTGAATTACGTCATAAGCATATTAAGGCGTTTTGAAAAACAGTTGCTGCATATATTTATAGTAAAAAAGTTAATGTAGCAAAATAAACTTTTAATTGTCAAAAGAAAGTTTTAAAGTTTTATCTAGCTACAGGCTTTTTTTTTTTGCCTCCACAGCAGCATCTTATGAAGTAGCAGGGCTGTCTTGTTAAGTTTTTTCTTTATTAATTTCAGACAACTTTTTTTTCAGACCATCCGCAGCTTATTAGGACTAATTACATTCGCACATTAATAACATAAGTGTCTCAATTATCATAGATACGCAACATATTTTTTCTCTTGGTGATGTTTTTTTTTTTTTTTTTTTTAATGTTTTATGAAGTTTTAGCATTCTTAAAATCTTTTCTTTTGTGAGTGCATAATATCGTTACGTTACATATGTTTGTATATAATCTTTATAAAACTTCGAAAGTATTTTGTATTTTAAAATAATTAAAAAAATTAAAAAAAATAGACACCTTTAGAAGGAGTCGAACCTCTAGTTCCTTGTTCAGAAGTTCGCCGCCTTATCCACTCGAGCTACACCGACATATTATCAAGCGTAGATTTTATAATAATGTAGTAACTTTTTTTTGAGGAAAAAAATGTTAGATCAAAATTAAGGAGAGGTTGACGCAATGTAATTTTCAAGTAAAAATCAAACTGTAAAACGTGATAAATGTTTCAGTATGTTTTAACATATGCTTTAACATTACTTAGTTTAAAGTTTACGTTCTTTAGATATTTGTTCACGTTTTCTTATAGTGCTGCGACTCTTTCTTGCCAATACCTCGGTTGCAATGGCTGCCAAGAGTTTCGTGTCAAATACGCTCCAAGGGACACTACTATTAAGTTCGGCAATATTATATAGAAGATATATACTGGATGGAAGTTCAACCGCATTGAAATTTTTTGGGACTATGCTTGTAACCTTTTGTTTTGTAAACAATAAGAAAACGACATCAAGACTGTACTTAAACGCGTAATCTTTATAGGTTGACGCAAATAGATACGTTTATAATAATTTAAAAATGTAGTATTTTGAAGGTTCGCCAATAATATTCAAGAAAAACATTAAAAATGGCGCAACGCAACGGCAAACAACAACTTTTTTATAAACTTCATATTAAATGAATGGAGTACTACAAGAATGAATAGAGTTATCACATACAGCTAATAAAACTTTAAACTTTAGTTATTTAGAAAACAATTTTTTTGATTTTTTAAAAATTGTTTTAGTTGTCTTTTTTATCAAATGTCGTGTTCCCGGTGGGAAGCGAGCTAGCGATTAGCTAGCGACTAGCTAGCTTTATAGCGATTTTCGAGCGATTTTTTTTTTCTTATTTAATTCTTTCCCTAAGTCTTTAACATCATTAAAAATTTGATTTTTAGTGTTTGATCTATTATAATTATGAAAATAATTGAATTTTAAACATTGCGATATTGTAACGATACATTGCTAGCTATATATCGCAGTTTTTTAGTCAGCGATTTTAATACGATATGACGCTAGCTACATATTGCATTTGTTTAGCTGGCAACTAGATAGCGATATATCTATAGCTATTCGATAACTAAATATCGCAGCTTCTTAGCTATCGATTTAATTACGATTAATCGCTAGTTACGTATCGTAGCTTTGTAGCTAGCTACAAGATAGCCACAAATCGATAGCTAGTTGATAGCTACATATCGCATTTTTTTAGACAGCAATTTTATTACGATTTATCGCTAGTTACATATCGCAGCTTTGTAGCTAGCTACAAGGTAGCCAAAAATCGATAGCTAGTTGATAGCTACATAACGCAGTTTTATAGACAGCGGATTTATTACAATATGACGCTAGCTACACGCTTAAAAATAGTGTTGAGCCGTAGGCTACATTATGTCGCGTAGAATACAACAATGAGTGTCGACGCCGGCTACACCAACACTATGTGGCTTTAAAAGCCATACTCAGTGTTGCATTCGTAAGGCTACATAAAATGTAGACTTGAAAGCCACACTTTGTGGCCTTTAATGCGACACTTTTGTAGAAATTTTTTCGGCATAATTGTTGCATTTAATCAATGGCTGTATATATAAGCTCTTTTTGCGCGACAAAACTGTTGTAAAAAAACCTCAAAATTAGTGTTGCGCTAAATGCAACACTATAGTTTATACACTAATCTGTGTTTTTCTAGACGTTATAAATGTTTTGATTTTTTGTAAGTATATTTATGCGTGATTTATTCCGCCCATTTAGGTCTTCACGTACTATGTATATAACCGGGCGCAATTAAATTATTCTAAATATTATACTAAATTACACATTGTCATTTAGAGTCATATACTAAATTACATATGTATATTATATTGGATTACAAGAAATAACGGAACGATATCACAATAAAATAATAAAAACTGAAATATAAATTTTATTTTAATTCCGAGTCAATGCATTGTTATAGTATTTCTTTTAAGTATATAAACTCAGTTCAAACTCAAACTCAATTCAGTGAATATTAAATTAAAAACAAGTCTTAAAACATTTATATGCAAAAGCGAGTCAAAACTTTGAAAAATAGATACCGCCGTCAGAGAAGAACCGTATGTCAACATTTTGTGTGTTTTTTTTTTGTCCATTATCAATAAATATTCAGGAGTGTGTGTTCCATAAATATACCACAACAATAAAATTTTAGGAAATAATTAAATAATCAGTCGAATTTTCTGGCAGAAAGTCTTCGCGAATTAAAATTTAAAACTTGATTTTCTTGGAAACACAAAAAAAAAAGACGGCCTCTTGGTTCTCGACTGACGATATAACAAAAATAAATAAGAAAGTGATAAAAATACTTTTTCGTTTCACAAACATATTGCTTAATTTAATCTTAAACTTTTGGCAATACTTTCTTTACAAGGAATTGACGATAATTCTTTTGCTGTTTATTCCAAGCAAATTTCCCATAAAAATATATACATAAATAAGTTCATGAGGAAAATTGACATTAAATACATAATAAGAGACTAGCAGCAACTCAAAAGCAAATCTAATACTCGGTATGGCTTCCAACCGTATAGCTGTATTATCGACTTATAATTAGAGTTATAATTAGAATTATAAATAGAGTGCCGCAACACTTGAATAAAATCAGTAAAAAAACTTTCTCCTTCTTCAATAACTCAAAGGAGCTTTTTTCTTTCAAGACTGAGGTGTACCTAAATGTTTAAGAAAAATTTTAAAAATGCAGAAAATACAAAGCTCAAAAAAGTAATACTTTTTGATTATAAACCAAATTTAACTTTAAAAAAAATGTATAGAAAAAACTTACATCCATTTCTCTATAAAATAAAGCCAAAATTGCATCAAAATCCATTCTTGGACTTTTCTTGCCCTTCTGTGGAGGTGCTATCATAAGAAAAGGGAGCGCCTTAAATGCAAGCAAAGTTGTATCTTCTAAATAAAAATAAAAATAAATCAGGGAACAACTTGTATATACTTATAAACCTTTATAGGTAGATTATAAAAAAACCTTCTTTTGGATTAAAAGGGTATATTACGTAAGGAACTAATAAATGAAATAAGATGAGAAAGAGAAACTTCGCACTTTAGCAGATTGGCACATAGTCAAGTTGCAGCAGCTTAGTACTTATGCAGATTGACAATTATGTTGTAAAAATTCTTATTTAAGTTATAAAGTTCTTATTTATTAATTCTCCCCACTTAGGGTAGTAGACATATATATACCTTCATTATATTAGTCTTCTGACAAAGTATTTTTGAACATTGAATCTCTTGCTAGTAAAAAAATGTTTTGTTTGCAAGTGTTAAAGCCATCATGCAATGTAATATTACTTGATACCTCTTCAATGAAATAAAACTATCTTTGAAATTCCCTCATTATTTTCATATCTAGGAGGGCCCATGTTGCATGTTTCAGAAATTACAAAAAGAGAAATTTTTTCTAAGTGTTTATTTTGTTTATATAATGTGTCAAGAAAGTAGTGTTATTCATTGCAATAAGCCACTCAAGTGAGTGGCTCATTGCAATGTATAACACTACTTTCAAACTTACTCTTAAACAATAATAGAGTGGAATCTGCTCTAATGTCATTGAAAACTGACAAAGCAGCATTAGCAATATCATTGCTTGAAATAACAGGTGATCAATGATCAGCAATGTTTGAAGAAATTTCAAAAAATTCAAGGAAAATCTATTTTTGTGAAATTGGCAAGCTTTGAAAAACTATTTCGAGCGCTGCAATATAGGAAACTAATGATTATGAAATATTGTTAACAGAAACAATTACTTCAGGTATAATGTAATAAGGAACACTGCTGCTTGTTCACAATGAAGAAACTAACAAAGGATCAATATATTCTATTGTTTTTTCAGGATAAGTGTAAACTTAATAAGTAGAATTCTCTGGGAAACTAGGCAACAAATATTCTAAAAAATTAGGCAATAAATCGTTACGATTATCATTTAATGGATTACTATACATTTTGCTTCAGGATTTTTATCAATGAAATCATTATCAATATTATGGTAACATTTTACATGTCTAATTAGCGACATATAAGCTGTGCAGGTACATTTACAGCCATTCTGTAAACATTTAATTGGATAAACAATTTCGCCAATACTATTATGACGTTGAAGATGATTTTGAAAAAAAATTAATAGTTTCATAAAAGTACCACATATATAGCAAACAAACATTTTAATAACTTTTATCAGAAAATATATATATATATATATATATATATATATATATATATATATATATATATATATATATATATATATATATATATATATATATATATATAATGTGTAAAATATAACCTATATTTTACACATTTTGTTAGGCTAATGTTATTATTTTATATAATTAATGTTATTATGTTATAATTTTTATAACTTCATAATAATGTTGTTAACGTAACTAAAATAATTTTATTAACATTTTAATACAATATATATATATATATATATATATATATATATATATATATATATATATATATATATATATATATATATATATACAATAATAGCATTAGTCTAATTAAATAAAGTCACACAACTAATTCATGTAGTAATGTACCAAAGGTCTTACCTAATTTTTAACAACTGAAAATCGATATTTTCCTCGCTTAACATATTTAATACGATATTACTAAAATATTACAAACCAAATATTTCTTTATGAAAAAGTTAACTATGTATGTGTTTAAAATTACCATGCAGCAATAAAAGTTACACTAAAATTTTCAGTAAAACTGAACGGTTCATAAAAAAAAACATGTCGCTAAAATCATGATTCTAGCCTCTTTTCCAAATAATTCGATACGAGAATCCAAGAAAGTGCAACACAAAGTGTGGCTTTTTTTACGCATATAATGAAGTTTAATTTCATAATTACAAGTGTGGCTTTAAAGCGCACAAGCGTAGCCTTGAAGTCCACAATTTGTGTAGCCAAAAAGACGCTACACTAAGTGTCGTGTTTTTTGTCTACACTATTTTTAAGCGTGTACATATTGCATTTATTTAGCTGGCAACTAGATAGCGATGTATCTATAGCTATTCGATAGCTACATATAACAGCTTCTTAGCTATCGATTTAATTACGATTAATCGCTAGTTACGTATCGTAGCTTTGTAGCTAGTTACAAAATAGCCACAAATTGATAGCTAGTTGATACATACAATAGCTAGTTGATACATACCGCAGTTTTTAGATAGCGATTTTATTACGATTTATCACTAGTTACATATTGTAGCTTTGTAGCTAGCTACAAGTTAGCCACAAATCGATAGCTACTTGCTAGCTATATAATGCAGTTTTATTGACAACAATTTTGTTACGATTTATCAATAGTTTCATATTTGTAAGCCTTTTTAGCTAGCTACAAGGTCGCCATAAATAATGCTAATAATAATTGAACTTTAAAAGTGAAGATTTTATTACGATATGTCGATAGCTACACATCGCAGCTTTTTAGCAATCGATTTGAATGCAAAATGTCGATAGCTGCATATAGTTGTGATTTAGCTTGCTAGAAGATAACGAAAATTCTTTAGCTACAAATTAGAGCTTATAAGCTATCTATATTTTAGCACGAAATGTCAATAGTTTTTTAAACAGTTGTAGTTTATGCGCACTGTTACAGACGTATGGAAATAAAATTTTGGTCAGATGGTAGATGAGCGTAGTAAGTTTTAACTATAAATAATAATATTTTATTTAGTAAAGATTAACTACGAATAATAATATTGTATTTAGTAAATTAAAAACATCGATGGTGTTTTTAAATTACTAAATACAATATTATTATTTATAATTAAACTTAGATGGTGTTTTTAATTTACTAAATACAATCCCTTCATTAAAATTATATACATATATACATATATATATACATATATATATATATATATATATATATATATATATATATATATATATATATTTATATATATATATATATATATATATATATATATATATATATATATATATATATATATATATATATATATATATATATATATATATATATATATATATATATACATATATATGTATATATATACATATATATATACATATATATGTATATATATATATATATACATATATATATATATATATATATATATATATATATATATATATATATATATATATATATATATATATATATGTATATAATTTTAATGCAAGACCGGAATTTTTTTATTTATTTTTATTTTATTATTTGATAGACTGACTGCCCAAACCAAACCTTCAGTCGATGTAGCAGCACTCCTTTGCGAGTCAGGCTATTTGTCAGTCAGGCTATAAGGTAGTCGATATAGCAACACTCGCACATGATTTACACTAAAAAAAATAAAAACAAAAACATTTTATTTAAAAAATAAAATAAAAACATTGTTTATATTTTTAAAAACATTCTTAATGTTTTTTAAAACATTCTGGTCAATTAAATTTGCGTTTTTGCGGTTTTTTTAAAAAATAATTAAGTTAATGGTTTTAACTTTATGACAACACGGAAATGTTAGATGAATGTCAAAAGTAATTAAAAGTGACGTAACTTGTTGTTAAAAGAATCATTTTTAACCTTCCGTACTCTCAAAGCCAACAATTTATAGAACTCTCGCTCTCTCTCTCTCTCTCTCTCTCTCTCTCTCTCTCTCTCTCTCTCTCTCTCTCTCTCCTCTCTCTCTCTCTCTATATATATATATATATATATATATATATATATATACATATATATATATATATATATATAAATATATATACATATGTATATATATATATATATATATATATATATATATATATATATATATATATATATATATATATATATATATATATATATATATATATATATATATATATATATATATATATATATATATATATATATATATATATATATATATATATATATATATATATATATATATATATATATATATATATATATATATATACATATATATATACATATATATATATATATATATATATATATATATATATATATACATATATATATATATATATATATATATATATATATATACATATATATATATATATATATATATTTATATATATATATATATATATATATATATATATATATATATATATATATATATATATATATATATATATATATATATATATATATATATATATATATATATATATATATATATATATATATATATATATATATATATATATATATATATATATATATATATATATATATATATATATATATATATATATATATATATATATATATATATATATATATATATATATATATATATATATATATATATATATATATATAATATATATATATATATATATATATATATATATATATATATATATATATATATATATATATATATATATATATATATATATGTATATATATATATATATATATATAGCTATATCTGTAAAAAAAATTAAAAACTATATAAACTTTAATTTTTATAATACAGTTGGGTTATTTCTATATTATAATAAAGTTTATTTTTCATTTAAAAAATCTAAATACTTTTGTTTTCTCGATTAAAAACGCATTAACGCCTGTCATGAAATTGCTGTCTAGAAGTTTTAATTAACATACTTTAGTATACCGCATTACACAGTTTAGTATACCGCATTACCAGTTATGCAACTAATAATTTTTGGCAATATTTTACTAACGACTTAATTTGTCATATTGAAATTTACTATACATAACCAACAATTTTATCGATATTGCTTTTTTCGCAGTATCACTCTACTATTCATATTGTTTTAAAAATATCAATATCGATATCAAAAATGGCATGTAAAAGATCTAAAGATAAACCTTCGGAATGCAACAGCTTTCTTCAAAGCTCTAAACGGATGGGCCAAGTTGCAACGGTAATTACATTTCATTTGTTTGATCTATATGTAGGACTAATAATTTAACTCGCATTTTCCTCTTTTACTTTAGTTTTTATTATGTTACCGTAAACCGTTACTTTGAGCGTTTTTGAGGGTTAATTCGAGCGTTACTTTGTTGTTGAGCTTTACGAGGGTTACTTTGAGCGTTTTTGAGATATTTTTACTTGCTTTTTCCTCACTATAGGCAATATTTCAAATTTAACAAAATGAATATAGGGGCTAAGGTTGATTCATACATAATTCAAATTCAAAATATTATTTAAATAATATTAATTTAAAAAGTTTAATATTAATTTAAACAGTCATTTAAAGTTCTTTTAAAATCATTTTCTTGTTATACGATATTTATGTTTTATAAAATGAGTTTTTAAAATCATTTTATTATTTTTAAAAACCCTTTTTTGCGTTACCATTAAATAAAATGTTTAAAAAAAGTTGTCACAGACTTATTATGTCCAATGTTGGTTGTTTCCTAATTATTGAAATTCCATTTACTATAAAATTTTTGGTATTACATATTTAGTTTTAAATAATAACGGTCTTGTTTAAACGCATCAACGTTTTTGCTTTTGTATTTCCAGAATTCTGGAAATTTTTGTAACTTTTTTTTTGCTGGATATCTAAAACGTTTTTGCTTTTGTATTTCCAGAATTCTGGAAATTTTTGTAACTTTTTTTTTGCTGGATATCTAAAACATTTTCTATACTTAAAAGTTTAAATAAATCTATTTGTTTTATAAGCTTTTTCACTCTTCACTCATAAAAAAATAAAGAAAAATTTGAAAAAAAAAAGAAAAAACTCAGCTTTAAGCAAAAATAAGAGGAAAATAAGAGAAAATATTTTCCATTTATTTTACCCAAACAAATCTCTGGATTTTTAAAATATTGCATGGAAGATCTATGATATGTATATTGTATAAAGCTATGATTGTATGTATATTAAAAAAGTTATTTTTTTTAGCACATTCTTACTGCAGAATCAGAAGTAGAAATTGATTTTAATACATCAAAAATAAAAACACAAGAAAACTCCTTTAAGTCAATAAAACAGAAAAAGAAAAAAAAAATGTATTTTTGAAAAACCTCCTTTACCATCATTACCATTATGGAAGCCACCAAAGCTTCCTGATTCCGATTCAGTATACATTTTAAAAAATTATCCCATTCGTAAAAATAATATTTTTTTTTGTTTAACTTTTATGGTGTATTTGCTTTTTTTAGTTACCATTTTTTAATTAAAAAAAAAAAAGTATAATATAATCAGAATATTGTGAATGTATTTATAATCATTGTTAATCTTGTTTAGAACTTTTTGTCTCTCTGCCTCAATGGATCAAGTAGATGACTTGCCAGTTACACAGATAGCGTTTCCATCAGAAATGCAGTCTGTTTCACAAGTTCAACCGTTACTGCATTCATCTTCTTCCTTTTCTTTACCATCTCAAAAAACTGGGATAGACCAAAAAAATAACTTTATTCGGAAAGCAAATGTTGAACCCAATACTGTTGAAGGCATTCAATTTATAGTGAACTCCATGTACAGAAAACTTTGTGGGTTGGAAACAGAAATGCGTTCCATGCGTTCAATTTTAGACACTAATCATGGTAATAAAGAAAATATTAATATAGATTATTTACCAGCTTATTCAGTTGAAGAGTTTGACTCACTAGAAAATAAAATAATTAACTCTAATGATAAAGATATCATTTGCAGAAAGTTAAAGCAAATTGATGGGAGAAATGTAAGTGACTTTTTAAAAAATGCTTTAAAAACTTGTTTAACAGACAAGCTGTGCTGCAGCATTAATTGAACTGGTGCAGATAAAAAGCGTAGGTTTATAGGACCAGTCGAAAGTTTGATTTTTGATGCAGCTTACTGTTTATTTCCAACTGCCACTGAATCCAGTATGACTACAATAATTGCGAAACACTTGAAAAAGTCTAAAGATCGTTATTTTGCTGCAAGAAAGAGAAGTTCTTCTTTAACAAGTGATATACAAATACACAGTCCTGTTAGAAAAAAAAGAAATTTAAACACTGACTCATGTAGTGATTCCAGTTAACTTATTTTTTTTTTGTTTATTTGTTCTATTATTTTTTATTGACTTTTTTTTTTTAGATATTTCATTTGTTACAACTTTTTTAGCAATTATTTTCGAAAATTGATAAAGATTTAAAAAAAAACTAAAATTTGACAGAAATTTTATTCTATTATCTTTTAAAATATCTTTTGAAATTATTAATTATTAAGTTTAGGCAAAATCATTTAGTTGTTAATGACTTAAAAGTAATCTATAACTTTTCTTTTAACATTTTATAATGGCTTTAACATTTATAACTTTTTATGAAAACAAGTATAAACATTTTGTATTTAATTTGTTATAAATGCAATCTTATTTTAATGGTTATAATTCACTCCCCTGAAAAATATAGCACGCGATTCTTTGAGCATATCTTCTAACCTAGCCGAGATTTTCTAGCCAAATTGATGTAACATTATCGTATCGACTTAATGCTAGCTACTCGCTAGCTTATTTAGCTAGCAATCCTCGTGGCCATACCGCTGTCTTTATCGTAACGACTTGTCGCTAACTTGTTTAGCTAACGGATCGCTAGCTTATAAAGCTAGCGATCCTCGTGGCCAAATTGCTGTCTTTATCGTAACGACTTAGTGCTAGCTATTCGCTAGCTCATTTACCTAGCGATCCTCGTGGCCATATCGCTGTCTTTATCGTAACGAATATCGCTAGCTATTCGCTAGCTTGTTTAGCTATCGGATCGCTAGCTTATAAAGCTAACGATCCTCGTGGCCAAATCGCTGTCTTTATCGTAAAGACTTAGTGTTAGCTATTCGCTAGCTTATTTAGCTAGCTATTCGCTAGCTTATTTAGCTAGCTATTCGCTAGCTTATTTAGCTAGCGATCCCCGTGGCCATATCGCTGTCTTAATCGTAACGAATATCGCTAGCTATTCGCTAGCTTGTTTAGCTAGCGGATCACTAGCTTATAAAGCTAACGATCTTCGTGGCCAAATCGCTGTCTTAATCGTAACAAATATCGCTAGCTATTCGCTAGCCGATTTCCCACCGGGTTATGACTTGAAGCAAGGAAAGAAGCTTAAACTAGCATATGCTTTTAAAATCAAGTGGTTCAATTTAATTACCGTGTTTTAATAAACCTTTTGTTGAATAATTGCAATTACTAATGGTTAAAAATTTGCAACATATCCCTAGAATAATTCATTTTTTAATGTTTTAATAAAGATCATTTCAGTGAATTTTGTTGTTTTATTATCCAGTGAAACTTGTTTTTTTTTTATTGTTGGTTACAAGCATACTCCCGAGACGACTTGAAATTGCTTTGATGTTTGCGGCTCGATGAACTTCCTTCTGTTTTATACTTCCATGATTTAACTTATCCCGTATGCAAAAAAAAAATTAAAAAAAAAAAAAAATTAAAAAATTTTAGTTGTAGTCAAAAAAACAATTAGATAGTTTTATTGATTGCGAAGAAGTTAATTTTATTCCGTAAACATCAAGTAGACTAAACAGAACTTGTAGACATTGACATGTGGCTTGTCCATAAATGTAGGCGGTTATTTAAAAGCTATGAAAACTATTTTAGTGTTGATAATGGAGGCTACTTCAAACGAAAAAACTCGCTTGTTATAAACTGTGATATTTAAAACATTGTTAATCACCTGGCCTAATTGCCCAGGTGATTAAAAATGAGCAATTGCTTTTTCTCATTAATTGGTCAGCTTTACGTTCAAAAAACTTCAGCAACTTTGTTCAAATTTTTATTCACGTAAAGTTAATTAATTTAATTAAGAATTGCTCAGCTTTACGTGAATAAAAACTTTTTAAAAATTCCTTAAGTTATTATTCACGTAAAGCCGACCAATTACTGCGTAAAAGCAATTGCTCATTTTTATTCACCCAGCCTATTTGTGTATTACGAGGGTTAGCGTCAGGTTATTTAAAGACCAGACTTGGACACCTAATATTATTAAGCAATAAAATAACGCAAATTATGAGCCAGATGTTTTATTCTGGCTTATTGTTTTACTATAATGGAATATTTAGCAACCTAAATATTTGGGGAAGCGTTGATGAATAGGGGTTAACGTAGCAAGATAATGAACGTTTTAAAGCCCGTAGTTATTTTAAATCTATCGGTCATGAAGCAATAATGTCTTTTCAGTATGTTTATGTTATCATAAGGATTTATTGTCTGCCTGAATTTCAGTTTGCAAGTAGAAAAATTTGAAATAAAAATTTCATAACAAAAAGTTCATAAATATATCATTTGATCACTTGACCGGGGCAAGATGACTTATTATGCAATTTCTGCCTTTAATTTTATGAATTTTTACTATCACCTTCACAAATTAAAGTATGCTATAAAATTTTCCTTAAAACCCAAAGGACACCAACTATTATAAATAACTAAATCTAGGTGTTATATGTAAAGCATGCAAATTAAATTAAGGTGTATAAAATTGCGTTAATATTTAAAAAAAAAAAAATTAATATTTAATATTTAAAAATAACACTTAAAAAAACAAATAGGTGTTTTAAAATACAAGATGTAAATTAAAATTTTGTCTTCTCCTATTTTGAAGTTTTTTTATATGAAAATCCAACTTGCCTTATTCGGCATTTTGCCCCGTTTCCCCGATAGTTATTAGGCTTTAGTAATTTACAAATTACTAATGATTTTAAAATTCAAGCCTCAGCTTGTATTTTAAAATTATTGCTTTTTTGAATAAAAGCAAAATTTTTGAAACAAAAAAAAGTTCAAAAAACCATATTATTTGCAACACGTTTGATCCTTTTTTTATTTTACGTATTAATTATGCAAGAAAAACACTTTCGTTTCTAGGTGTGCTTTATAAACATGAATTATAAGGAGATTTATTCGAAAGTTTGAGAATCATTAATAAAAACCACAAAATTATTGAAGGAAATATAAAAACATTTCCAGAAAGCAAGTACGTATTGTATTATGTAAATTCAAGGCATTTTATATCATTGTTAATAACCTAACTTTTTAACACCTTTAAATTTTAACACCATTTTTGCCTAGCTTATCGTAGCATGCGTCTCGCTAACAAAGAAGTGACCAGAAAATACAAAAATGATTTCAAACAAATTATTTTGAAGCTCATATTACAAAAAGATTAATTTTAGTTGTTTCCATTACTTTTTACCAACCGTTCTAACAACAAATGGTATGTAAGGAGCAACTTTTCTCCATCGTACTCTTCGAATAGCTCTACGAAATCTCCATGGCTTTGCATCATTCAACTCTAAAAATTTTAACGATACTTTTTTTTTTTTAAATTTACCCAAAACTTGCAGTGGATAAATTATAAAAAAGAGAAAAAGTAAATTACCTCTAACGTTACTTTCTAATACGTCACTTTCCTCTTCAAGATCTTCAAATATTTCTCTTTCAACTTCATTTTTAATTTCTTCCTTCACATCCTCATAACCTAAGTTAAATTTATGTTTATGATTTCATTGTAATGCATTTATTATACTGTCTATATTATGTAAGCATTTGATTTTGTTTGAATGCTTACAAGCCAAATAAACCTTTTCAATACAATTAATTTTTTAGATAAAAGATTTAATTAAATTTAATAGTTAAAATAGACTTAACAAATTATAAATGTAATAAACTAAAAATCAATATATCGTTAACTAACTTTCTGCGTGTGTGAAAGCAATGAATGTCAAAAACAAAAATGCCAACACTGTCTTCATTTTTCAATTCTACTCCTTAAGAAATAAAAGTGAAACAGTATTTATACAAGCTGATGGAAAACATCACGTGTGTTTTTTAATGACAGCAAACATACTTATAATTTTATTTGCTTTTTAGAGAATAGTTATCTTTATTTATTCATTTTATATTTCAAAAATGAGCTTTACAAATAAACATGCACGCGGAGTTTCAATTTTGAAATTATATTGACGTAAATCATCATTGAAGTAGAGTTTTTTGAATTAGTTATGCTAAGATTGAAAACCATTATCCAATTGCAGGACTAAAATTATTCAATAGATTTTGGTACGCCGCGCTTGGGTTAGAAAAGGTCCAACAATCAAAAACTGGTTGTGTTTTTTATATTTGGCTGAATTTCTATTTGGAACCTTGTGTGCTTTTTAGCTCAAAATACTTTGTTATACCTTTGCTATCAAAGCCACCATTTGTACGCGCCTATAACTAATAACCCTTTTTATACAAATTTTATTTTTTCAAAATTTTTTTAACGCTATATCAAAACATGAAAGTATTATAGACTTATATGAAAGTATTATAGACTTCTATAATACATCCATGGTCAAAAAGATGATTTAAATATTGCTATAAAACCTTATGACGTTGATTAATTCAAATAAGAAGATGACTTGTTTAAATTTGAGCTCATCAGTAGGTTTTATCATTATAGCCGCCTAATTTAAACTTAGTCTTGAAACAATGGTAAGCTGTAAATCGAGCGTCTTTTTAATTTGAAAATATTTTAACAAATCTTAACATGTTTTTTAACATATTTTAACTTTTGTTGCGTCTGGAACAAAGAAATATTTCAAGTATATACTAAATAATGGTTAACTGTTTCTATAATACCCATCAGTTTTAAAAAATGAAATACTTTGTCAATATTATCATTATCTCAGTGTTTACCGTTGTCATATGACACACCGTATCCATTAAAATAAAATAAAAATTAGTAATGAGAGAAACCGTATTTTGTGATTATTTTAACAATAACACATTATTTACTCTGAGACAAGATGTTCTACGTAATGGCCAAAAGGATCCGACTACGCAAATAAATTTTTTAAAAGAAATTGTTTATAAATGCAAAATTTGTGTATTATACTTATTTCGCATATATAATAGAAACAGAGTTTCTATAAATAGAAGCTATGTTCGCATAATACATGGTATTAAAAACTTAATATTGTTTTGTAAAATACACATGGAAAAATTGAAGTGAAAAACAGGCAAAACATAGTAAAACGCTTTAAACAATTTAAAATAAACAATAATAACGAATTAGTTTTTCAAACTCAAGCGATTGACAACTTAAAACTCTCGCGTAACGACTTAAAACTATTCTCGCATTAAAGTGTTTCCTATCAATACATAAAAAACCTTTAAATTATTGGTAAACTTTATATCTGTATGCTATATATCTAGACTAAATGTATAGAGACTAATTAGTTATGTTCAAAAGACTATATCTGTCATGAGTTCACAAAAGAATTCTGGGTAACACCGTTCCTTACTTTTTTTTTTTTTATCTAAGAACTTAAGTATGACTAATACTGACTAAGTATCATAGTAAACAACTGACCTATATAAAGTTGTTAAAGTTATACCTATCTTCAAAAATGCCTCTGAAAAAATTTCTTTATTTACAGACCTATTTCAATTCTGTCAAACATCGAAAAATTTACTTGAAGGAGTCATGAATATCAGATGAACTGGATTTTCACATACATTTTTACATGCATTTTGGTATATAAGGGTACTACGTCCATTTTTGGCAGTATGGAGTTATTTATATCACTATTTAGTATTTTAAATTCTCTATTGTTTGATATACCCAACAAATTTAATATTAATGAGTTGTTAAGATTTATTTCAACTATTACACAAAAACTTATTATTTTAACTATAACGCTAAAACTTATTTGTTCGTTATCTCAAAATGATGTTTTTGGACTTAATGCATTTTTTCCTTATATATATTTTTTAATGGGGCAATCTCCATTAAAAAAATTTATTATTATTTTAAAAAAATTATTTTTTCAAAAATACGCTTAACTTAAATCATATTTATCGTAATGCCATTTTTGTGTAATACGAATATGTTCAAATTACCAAGCACACACGCATCCAACCACTTTTTAGTTTTACGATTTGACCGCGGCCATTGTTATACATCGTTGAATTCGTTACAATAAGTATATTTAGGATTGATATGTAACATAAAATTCGTTTAAGCAAAATATTCACGTTTTAGGGGCCAAAAGGGTTTTAACATTTTAGATTTTTTTCCGCAATTTATGTAATTTTTTTTTTTTTTTTAATAATAGTAAATTTATATAAAAATTTATCAATTGTTTAATAGTTATAGCCATTCTAGGTGTGAAAATGAGTAATAAATAAAATATGGGATAAATATTCTCAAAAAACACAAAAAAACACAAATCTGCACCCTATATCACTAAAATTTTTGAAACTTGGCACAAATGTTTATAGACATATGTTAGGAAAGATTGTAATTTTTTTTCATAAAACTAATTACCGTTTATAATTTACAGCAATTTGAAGTTTCCTTGATTTTGACTAAAAACTGAGAGGGGAAAAGTGCCGAAAATTATTCCGTTTACTTTGACCTTAATATGGCGCTTGTAGTGATGCCACGAGTCTGAAACTTTGTACCAAAAGAGTTTAAAACCTGTTAAATCCGAAAAATATAGTTTCTAATATGTCAAAACAAGTGAATAAAGTCTATTTTAAGATCCGTAAAATACAATTTATAACGCCGAGAAAAAAGTACATTGACAGTTATAGCTATAAAAAAAACTTGACTTATATAAAAAAAATTTAATTTCAATTTTCTTAAAAATAAGATCAACACCTACTTTTCGAACCAAATTTGTTTTGGCCTTATATTTACTTAAGGAATTATTGATTTTTGATATACACACAAAATTTTTTAATATTTTTAAAATTAGACATTTCATATAACCCCACCGTTTCCAAATCAATCAAATTAGAAACTAAAAAATTAGTGAATTTATTATCTTTTTCATTTTCATTTGATATTTACAACAAAATTTAAACGTATATAAATTTTTTTAAAAAAATACTAAACTTTTGTGGTTTTATATATGTTTTACATTCACATTATTTACAAGTTGGTTCACAAAACATAATATTTAAAAAAAGAACGGATAAGACATAAAAAACTTATATATATAAAAATCTCTACTTCCTTAGGAAAATATTTTTTTTTAAGTCCTCTTTGGCTAATTAGTAGCAAAGTTCTGTTTTTGTTATCGGTACCTCAACTTTGCAAAAAATGTGGACATCAGGAATCCAGCATTGGCTTTCCTTTGGTGGCCATTTAAACGACCGTGCAGGACCATTAGGACACATAAATTTTACAAGCACATCTTTTTCTTCTAAATTAATATCTTCAATGACTCCTATCCATCACTTTTAGTCATAGGAAACACAGGCATAATCACTTGGTGCTAGATTTACAGTTGTTATACAGATATTTCCGAAGTCATGAATTGAAGCAAGTTCTTCATCAATACTCCATAGCTTAGTGCCTACCTAAACAAAATAGTAACATATGCAGTTATTCCGTTTTACTTTAAAAACATTTTTTATTAAATGCATAGATAGCAAATGCAGAGGAAATTAAATAAAATACAAATATTTTTGATTTTTTGATAATGATTTTGCAAAAATCTAATATCAACTTGAGTTTATCAAAAAAAATATGCGTGTATTTTAAAATATGATAAAAGGTATAATTAAAAAATAATAATTTACTTTTTGATGGCCAAGTGGTACAAACTAATGGTAACTACGTGTTCCAGGTATTGTATTAGCAGTATCCAATCGTTCTTTAAGAGCGGTTTTCACCAAAGTTAAATCTTCTGATGAAATATAT